CCCTCCCGCCCCCGGAGTGACTTCGTCTGAGCAGCCGGGTCGGGGGGAGGGGGGCCAGCTGAGGCTTCCGGAGTGTGGTTTCGCCGGGGGTCTTGGATTCCCTGGCTCTTGGGATCTGGCGAGCGATGCTTCTCCGGCCTCTGGACTGAGGTCCCAAGCTTTCGCCACCGCCGGCCAAGGGTGACGGTAAGGTCCCCGGGAGCCGTGGGGCCCTCTCGGCCTCTGCCCGCTCCTCAGCTCAGAGCTCATCCCGGCCGCGCGCTCGAGGCCAGGCTGGAGGTCTGAGGCCCTGGAACAACACCCATGCGGCCCCTGGCCTCTTCCTGCCTTCCTTGGGCCTCCGGTGACGCGCGGGGCTGGCCCAGGGCCTCCCACCTCCCAGGCCTCTCCGGTGATGCCTGGGGCTGGCCCAGGACCCCCCAGCCCATCCCCCGCCCGGCTGTCCCTCCCTGGGCAGCGTCTGGAGCACCTCCCCTCCTGGCCTGGGGAGGCGATGGGGGCCAATGGAGGAGCCCGTGGAGACCACCCTCGCGGTCTGTGACATCCACGTGTGACCTCCATCGGCCTCGGTCCGGCGCTGCGGCCTGGCCCGTGAGGTGGCGGCTGGCTAAGCCTCAGAATGCGATCACGACTCTGATTTTACAGATTGACTTCACCGAAACAGAGACCGATAGCTGAAAGTCAGCGTGAACGAAACGTTCATTTTTGCCATCCCGCGTCCCCTGGGCCGCTGTCCCGGCCCAAGCTGGGCCCCAAGGAGGCCGTGCTGTGTACTTAAAAAAAAAAAAAAATCTCCTTAAGTAGGAGCTATTTGAAATATATACAAAGGAGGGGCGCCTGGCTGGCTCAGTCCGTTAAGGATCTGACTCTTGATTTCGGCTCTGGTCGTGATCTCACGCTTCGTGGGATCGAGCCGCGCCTCGGGCTGTGCGCTGACAGCTCAGAGCCTGCTTGGGATTTTCTCTCTCCCTCTCTCTATGCCCCCCTCCTTCAAAATAAATAAATAAACTTAAAAAATATGTGTACATACAAAGGAGGAAGCAGATAGCCGCTCTCTGGTAGACATTTCCATGTTCCAGGGCTCATGTTGCTTGTTGACTCAGCAAAAATTTGCTGAGTGTCCGCTGGGTGCCAAGCACTGCCCTAGGCCCTGGGGATACGTCAGTGAATCCATGAACAAAGCAGACGAGGATCCTGTCCTTGTGAGTTCATGACCTAGCAGGGGAGACGGAGAAAGGACAGTGGACATAGAGCATGCTGGAAGGCGACAAGGGCCATGGGAAACACAGTTTCAGGGAGATCAGGCGAGAGATCTGACACTGTGGTCACCTTAGGAAGAACATTAGAGGCAGAATAGCCCATGCAAAGGCCCTGGGGCAGAAGTGTCTGCCGGTCGGCCAGCATGACAGGGTTGAGTAAATGACAGGGACAGGACAGGACGTGAGTCCTGGAGAGGCCACAGGGGCCAGACCAGGTGGAGGGACTTGCCGGCTGGGGTGAAGACGACAGCTTTCAGGTTCATTTTACTTTCAAGAAATAAAAGCTTACACAGTATGTTGTACGTTTGACAAATCGCTGTGAAAAGGTCCCAACCGACTGTATCTTTCTGAGGCTCGTCTTTTTTTCCCAAGTCGATCTGTTCGTGCTCTGTCTCTCAAAGAGAAGCAAACATTACAAAAATGAAAGAAAAGTATGTTTTAAAAACATATTCGCTGTCGATGGACGGTCAGGTAGGCCGTGGTCCTCAAGGCGTCCCGCCTGTCCACGGGCTGCGTCCTCTGCTAGGAATGCCCTCTCCTGTCTTCTTTTCCCGGCAAAGCCCAGCTCACTCTTTCGGTACTGGGCTCACGTGTCTGTCCCCTGTTCCGGGCGGCCTCTCTGACCGTCCAGGAATGGGCTCCTGGCGGGTCTGGTTCGGTGAGAGGCGGTGGTGCCCGGCAAGGGCTCACCTTGGCCCTCTCTCCCAAGTCTTTGTGTTCCGGGCTGTGATCTTTGACCTTGGGGGGAGGGGGAGGGGGCTAGACTCTGTCATATCAGGCAAAAGGCCGTGAGCTTGGCTAGCGCCGCTGTCTAATCAGCTGCTGGGTCCAGATGCCTCTGTCCCGATGCCGAGCAAAACCAGTGCAAAGTCTGCCCCCTCCTGAGGGTGGGGGGTTGGGCAGCGACAGTGCCGGGGAGGAAGAAGGGTCGGTCACTTCATGCCGGGTGACTACGTGCCTGACCTTCCGGATGCCCCGGGCTCTGCCATACCCTGTTCTGAGCACCCTACCTCTACAGACGCACGTAAACCTCGCCCCAGCTCTGCGAGGTGGACCCTACGCTCGTGCCCATTGTATGGATGTGGAGGTTGAGGGTTCACAGAGGAGCAGTGACTTACCCACCGTCACCCAGCCAGAAGGCAGAGCTGGGTCATCGAACGTTCCCTGTGAGTGAGCGGGTGAGTGGGGTGGAACCCCAGAACGAGAAGCCCCTTCTGCTGGAGAGAGAGAGGGAGGGACACGTGGCTTTGCCTGGAGGTTCATTTCTTGGGTCGTGACTTGTCCCCAGGGCAGGGTGAGCTGGACAGCGGACGAGGAACGTGGGGTGGGCTTCTGGGATGCTGGAGTTCCGAGGGCTTCTCCGGGTCCGGCTGAGAAACAGGGCTGGGGAGGGAGGGGAGGCAGGAAACGGAAACACTCTTCGTTTTGTAAAACCCCTCGCTTGAGGTATGATTGACGTTCTAAAGAGCTGTACATATTCAGTGTGTACAACTCGAGGAGTTGCGGTAAGTGATCACCCTCCAGCCCATCGCCGCGGTGTGTGTGGAAAGACCCCCCCCCCCACAACTTTGCGCGTGGCTGCTCTTCCTGTTTTCGTTTCGCAAGCCCAGCAAGCCCGGCGATCTCCCATAGGCCACAGCGTTTGCAGTTGACAGGACTGCGTCGTCTCCTTAAATATTTGCTAAGAGGGTAGCTCTGGTGTTAGGTGTTTTTATCACACACACACACACGCACAGGAGGAAGGAGCTGGGACCGACGTTGCGTTCTCTCCTGGCGGAAGCCAGGACAGGCAGGGACCCCTGGTCACTAGCCCCGTGTGTGTCTTTTCCGTGTGGGGGAGGCGATGGCTGAGACGGCCGCGTCGGGACTCCCTCCCTGTGGGCCTGTTGTAGATTTGACGATTTCCACGCTGGGCGACCCCCTGCTCCCCCCCGCCCCCCCCCAGCAGCCTCTTTCCCAGCCCGCGCCCACAGGAGCTGTGGGGCCGCCCTCCTCCAGATGGTGCCCTGGCGGGCGTGGCACAGGGGTGGCCCGTGAGCCAGCGGTGGCCCGAGGTGTGTGATTTGGCTCCCAGGAGCGTTTGATTTTGAAAAAGAAATTGTCGCTATTGAAGCAGTTCGGAGATTCCACAGAATCCTTCGCTCAGATCACGTTTGTGAGTCAGCGCTATTTGCGTGTATCAGATGTCGCGTTATAAACATGGTCCCTGTGGCTTCCGTGGCTGGTAGGGAAGATGTGTTTGTCAACAAGTGATTACGACACCCTGAAATCCAGATTTGGTGGTCAGTCTTCCAGTTTTTTCTTCTCGGCAATGAATTCAACCCGTCTTCATTTCATTGCCATGTCGGTCAAACGCGACACAGCCGAGTCACTGGCGCCCATTGTACAGATGGGAAAACCGAGGCTCAGAGATGACCGTCTTGCCCTCCTGGTCCTGGGATCCGGCTGCCTTCAGATCCGCTCCTCTCCCGAGTCTGCCTGTTGGGGACAGAGGGCGGGGCCTGGCTGGCCAACTCCTGCCTTCTGCCTCCTGGACCCGAACCTGCAGCTGTAGCCTCTGCCTGTTGGTTCTGGCTGTTTGGGCACAGTCGGGGGGGTGGCTGTCCTTGTTCTGGAAGGCCATGTTCAAAGGAACCTGGAAGGTGACCCATGCTGTGTTGTACCTAACTTTGTGATATTGGGCATCTGTCTCATGGGCTGGCTCCCTGTGACAGACCCAGGCTCTGAGCCTTCAGGGGCCCGTGATGTGGCCGGGCCACGTTGGGGGGTGGGTTGGGTGGTCCTGGGGGGACCTCCCTGTGACACTAGAGCAGGGCTTGCAGAGCTGAGGAGGGAGGCAGGGATTAGAGGCCACTGTATCTGACAGACAGACTGCAGACCTGTTTTCTTCGGCTCTGTCTCAGCACCTCCCTGCCTCAGGGCCTTTGCACTGGACATTGCATCTGTGTGCCGTCCTCCTCCCACCAAATCCACGCGTTCCCCTCGCTGCCCTTTGTTTTTATTCTGTGTTTGTTTTTGTTCTATTTTTGCTGGCGTTTCACCTGTCTACTCCGTTTAAAGTTGCAATCTCCTTCCCTATCGCCGCCTCTCACACGGCCCACCTTTTACCTTCGTGTGCAATACCTGCCTTTCCCCGGCTAGGTTAAAGAGCCCACGACGCTGGGCATTGGGGTCTGTCTTGTTCTCTCTGGTATGCCCAGCTCTTAGAAGAGTGGCTGGTATGTAGCAGGTGCTCAGGAAAAGTTTGTTGAGGGGCGCCTGGGTGGCGCAGTCGGTTAAGTGTCCGACTTCAGCCAGGTCACGATCTCGCGGTCCGTGAGTTCGAGCCCTGCGTCGGGCTCTGTGCTGACAGCTGGGAGCCTGAGCCTGCTTCGGATTCTGTGTGTGTGTGTGTGTGTGTGTGTGTGTGTGTGTGTGTGTGTGTCTCTCTCTCTCTCTCTCTCTCTCGCTCGCTCGCTCTGCCCTTCCCCCGCTTGTGTTTGCTCTTTCTCTCTCTCAAAAACAAATAAGTAAACATTAAAAAAAAAAAAATCTTTAAAAAAGGAAAAAACAAGTAGGAGTATCTCGCCGATGAACGGACACTCCGGAGCAGTGCGTGTGCGGAGAGCGCCCTCCGGGTGCCCGGGTGCGGCCCGGCGGTGCAGCCTGGCTCCGGGCTGCGGTTCTAGCCGCCCGGTGGGGTGGGCACCTGTGGGGACCCGGGTCACGCTCCTCACGGACGTGTTCGTTTTGCCCCCACAGAATGTGCGCATCGACCCCAGCAGCCTGTCCTTCAACATGTGGAAGGAGATCCCCGTCCCCTTCTACCTGTCCGTCTACTTCTTCGACGTGGTCAACCCCAGCGCCGTCCTCCTGGGCGAGAAGCCGCAGGTGCGGGAGCGCGGGCCCTACGTGTACAGGTGAGGACGGAGGGGACTGGGGGGGGGGGTCTGGGTCGTCACCCCATTTTACAGTTGAGGAACCGAGGCCCCCGGGAGCGGAGAGGCTTGCTTAAGGTCAGTCTGGCTTTCTCCAGTCCGTGCCCTCGTGGTTGAGACCGTGGACTCTGGGGAGAGACCTCCCGGCTTTAAAAACTGGCTTTCTGATTGCAGGACGGGGCGGTCTTTCCTCGTGCCTTAGTTTTGCCGTCTGTAAATGGACGGTAACCGTATCCACCCTGGGGTGGCTGTGAGGTTATGAGGACCCGATGAGATGGCGGGGGGCCCTTCGGACGGCGAATGCCCAGTAAACGTTAGTTGCTGGCGTATTATTACGGTTGCTGCGTGACCCTCTTCCATGGGTCATGGTCTTTGGGAGAGGGCGGCTCGTTGAATCGGCTGGAGCGGTTTTCTGAGGGAGGAGGGAGGGCTGTTCCAGCGTGAGACCCAGTTCCCGGCTCCTGCCGGTTCTGCCTTCTGGGACGAGTCACGTTGCAGAACTGCCGACCGGGCTGGTCCGTGAAAGGCTTCGGGGCTGAGCCCGCTTTGCCAAAGTTCCTGCTGATTTCTTCCTTCCGGAAGCATTTATTGAGCAGCCCCTGTGTGCTGCGCACCGTGCCAGTCGCTGTGAGAGGCAGACCCAAGCCCCTGCCTCGCAGAGCTGGCGTCCAACGAGAGTAAACATGCGGGCCAATCAGGTGGCCGTAAGTGTGGTGAGAGGCACGCAGGGGAAGCCTGGAGAAGTGCTGGAGGGATGGGTGTGGGCGGGGTTGGTCTAACTGGAGGGTCACGGGGGGGGGACCTCTACCAGTGGAAAGCTTCCCGAGGCCTGGGTGGTGAGAAGGGGGTGCCGCTATCTGAAGATCTGGGGAGAGGAGGGCCCCAAGCAGAGGCGGCGGCAGGTGCAAAGGCCCTGAGGCAGGCAGAGTCTGGTAGTCCGGGAAGGAGAAGGCCTGTGTGGCTGGCCTGGTGTGAGTGAGGGGGGGGAGAGTGGCAGAGACAAGGCCAGAGCATTGGATGGGGTTGGGTGTCGGGGACCGCGGGGGCCACACTAGGGGCTTGATTTTATCTTGTCCGCAAAGAAGGCTTGTTGGGGAGAGAGTTTCCACTTTTCAGACTTTGTCCGGGTACCTTGTAGAGAATGGGTTAAACGGGACAATAACGGATCGAAGCAGCTGAGACTTACGTAGCGTCTCCTGTGCTTTGGGCCGCTGTCGGGTGGGTTGACGGGCACCGACCCACTCAGCCTTCACACAGCCCTACGAAGCGGGTCTTGTCATCGCTCCCATTTTATAGATGGGAAAACCGAGGCCCCGGTAGTAAGTGACGGAGGCAGGGTTCGAGCCTGGACCCCGTGTCCCCAGAGTGCACATTCCTAACCACCGTGCCACACTGCGTCCCTCGGAAAAGCAGCCGCCTGCGGGGGGCGGTGGGGGGAGGCTGTGAAGGAGGTGGCACTAGGCCAGGCGGGGGGGGGGGATGTGTGTGTTGGGATCCGGGTGCTCTTCGGGGTGGCCCCGAGGAGCCCCGCGGAGGCTTGGGCACCCGTTCTCACGGTGGGCTCAGGGAAGGCAGCTGGGGGCCCTTGGCTCCCGGCGGGTGCTGCGTCCCTGTGCGGCCAGGACCCGCTGACCCCGACTTCCCCGCCCACAGGGAGTTCAGGCACAAGAGTAACATCACCTTCAATGACAATGACACCGTGTCATTCCTCGAGTACCGCAGTTTCCAGTTCCAGCCTGACAGGTCCCACGGCCTGGAGAGTGACTACATCGTCATGCCCAACATCCTGGTCTTGGTAAGGCTGCCCCGGGCCGCGCCCCCCCCCCCCCCCCCCCCGGCCCTCATCCCTGTCCCTCCGGGTCTCCGTCTCTCTTCTCACCTGCCCCCCGAGCAGGGCCGTCCTGCGTGGGGCCCGGCTCTCAGCCCATTGAGTTTCCCAGGTGCGTCCTTTCTTACTGGCTTGGGGGTCCTGGCCCAAGTCCTTGTGTGTCCTTTCTTCGTCTGCAAATCTAACATCTCCAAACGGAGGTGCTGGTGGGGGACTTCCTCGGGCGCCCCCAGGTCGTGTCACTGTCTGCAGCGTTTGCAGGCGGGGCCTCCGTCCTCTGCAGCTGGGCCACAGTCGTCGCTGGGCTTGCAGACTGTGTGCCCGTGGGCTGGGGTCCCCGAGCCCACCTCCAGGCTCGCCGACTCCCTGGGAGGGCTCGCAGGACCCCACTGTGATCTGTTATGGAGGAAGGGTGCGGCACAAAATCAGCAAAGGGAAAAAGGCGTGTGGGGTGGAGGCCAGGACTCCCCCACGTCCCCCGGCAACAGGCTGTGACAGCGCACGTGAATGAAGGCTTATCCCCCGGGAGACCTCTAGACACTCCGTCCCCAGGGCTTTAATCGGGGGCTGGTCACGGAGGCACCTTCTGCCTGGCACCCACCGAAATCCAGATCCCCGGAAGGAAAGCAGTGGTTGGCATAAATCATACTGTTGGTACAAGGAGTCCAGGCACAGAGAGCCCCCCACCCCCACCCCTTATCAGTCAGAGAGGGGTGGGAACCCCTGGAAACCCAAGTTCCCAGATGGCGGCCAAGGGCCAGTCTTGCCAGCAGGCCTTTCTAGAGACAGGGGGCTCACGCCTGTCGTGTTAATGCTCTGCTAACACGCTTAGTGTTGATGGGCCTTACACACATTACCTTGTCTACTTGTCGGTGATCCGGGGGCCGGCCCTCGGCTGGGCCCTGGATCCGAGGCGAACTCACCTGCTGAGTCCGTTGGACGGACGGGACAGGGGAACGAATGCATCCCGAAGCTTCACAGCTGCCTCCCCCAGAGTTCGATCCTTAAGCTTGGCAGCGAAGACGCTTTGCCCCACCGATCAGGCGGGCACAGCCCTCCC